GAGTAGAGAAATATAGTTAATGCAAATTTTTATAATTTCAGTTCTTATATTAAAGTGTGAGTTAAATGTAGAGATCTAATTAATTGTGTTTTAATTGAATATATATTTTTCAGTTTTAAAATTAAAGTGAGAGATAGATATATATGATCAATTGTGTTTTATTTGTGGTTTGTTTCACTTTCTTCTTAGTGGTCTATTTTTCTATAAAATGTTTTTTTTTTAAATTATGATTTCAACTAAACCAAAAATAAAACACATTTAGTTATATATATTAAACTGACACTTTAATATAAACCTAAAAAAAAAATTATTTTAATCAAGCCATAAATAAAAAAATTTGATCATCTATATTTATATTCAATTAAAACACAATTAATTATATACATTTAACTCACACTTTAATATAAAAACTGAATTAATATAAATTTGCATTCACTATATTTTTGTACTCAATTTTAGTCAACGCTAAATAAATTAGAATTAAATCTTACAATTTGTTCTTCTAAATTGTAACTCTCATAACTTCTCATCTTATAAATACTCATTTTCTCATTCTCTCATTCCCTCCTCCTCTTCCACTTTATCTCAAATCTTCTATAATTGAGTTTGTTTTGTTTTCTGTTTTTTTTTGTTGGTTGTTTGTTGTTGTATGAGTTGAAAAACAAAATTCATTTTCATTGTAAAAGTTTAATCTAAATTTTAATTTTAGACACTATATGATATATATTTACATTGTTTTATATGACACTATTTCATCTACATTGTCTATTTTAGATTACCATCTTATAATTAATCTCTCTCTCTTTCTCATTCTCTTTCACTACATTCATGTATCTTAAATATTTTTCTATTTTTGTGTTGTTATATGGATTGAAAATCAATAAAAGTATCTTTCTAAGAATTTGATCTTAATTTATTTTAGAAAGTATGATATATATCAAACATAGTTTCAATTTTATTTCTAATGCCTTATTATACATACGTTTTTCAATTTTTATTTCTAATGCATTATTATACATACGTTTTCATACTTATGAGTATGAATGAAGAAAGTATGATATAACACATATGTAAAATAAAAGTTTTGATTGTTATATAAATAAAAGTTTCAATTTAAACCTTGAGAATTTTTGAGAAATACCCCTTTTGGTGTACCCCTTTCTAAAAATAACCCATTTTTCTATCCATTTTCAAAATTACCCCTTTTTAAATATAAAAAATTATAAAGTTCTATATAGTTTATAAGGTACTTCTATATAATAACTACTACTGGGAGATTCAATACAAATATGTTAAAATGTTTTAAATAGTTTTAAATCGTTTTTATAAGTTTTATAAGGTTTTTAAAAGGTTTTAAAAGGGTTTATACGGTTTTTATAAGGTTTTTATAATTTATTTTTATGCTATTTATGAAAGGTATATAAAGTTTTATACACATATAAAAGTAATTTGTGTATATATTTATAAGCTTACACACATATTTGGATAAATTTCAACATTTTTAGTGGGTTTTTTGATAAAGTTTGAAAAAGGGGTATTTTTAAAAACAGGTATATGAAAAGGGGTATTTTTGAAATTCTCCCTTAAACCTTTAACAAATAACTTCTTCTATTTTTTGGAAATCTCAAATAATATTTTGTAATTCATTTCAATATATGTATAATTATATTTAGTTTGTGATCCAATAGATTATTATAATATTTAATTTATTTAAAATTTGAGGTCTAACTATTTTAAAAGAAACAAAAAGTACTTGGTTTTAAAAAATTGGTCTTTATTATTTTTTAAAATCATATAGTTCATAAAAGTTAATTTTTTTTTAATTCATTCATTAGTTGAACAAGGTTTTTTCTAACTTTTCACCACATTACGACATTTTGGGCTCTTTGTTGATGACACGTGTTATCCTTTATTTTTAATTAATTATTTTCATTTTTATTTCTAACTAAACATTTATGTCAATCTTATTTCCAAATAATC